GTTCCGATTCCACCAGGACGCAATAAGAGAAGAGGATGAAAAGAAGAGAAAAATCAGTCTGGGGCTGACTTGAAGTTTTCAGATTTACAAAAAAGATCAAGAAATTTGTGAAGTTTTTATTTATTTACAACAACACCTGTTCAAAAAGTATTTAGAACTGAAGCATGTAATCCGAAGTATTTAGAATTGAAACTTGCAGTCACTAAATTGTTTTTGGAATAATTTGAACCCATTTTTAATCGGCTTAAAAGTCATCCGAGTGCTGATTTAAATCATTAGAATTTTCTCGAGGGGATTGGGATTTTCAAAAAAATTTCGAAAAATTTGCCGACTTTTTTGTTAGGCCGACCAAGCTGATTTCTCCTAAAGCACTTAAAAGACCTTGTTTTGACAATTTTCTTGCGCCACAGGCAAAATTTTGAGAAAAAAGGCAAAAATAGGCGTTTTTTAACAACTTTTTGGACCTTATTGACAAACAAACCAAATTATGTTTTTTTGGCGCGCGCTCCCAATCAAAAAAAAGTATAGATTGGCGCCCGAATTTTAGGGTCCGTTAGTCAAAATTGGATATCTTAAAATAGCACGATTTAAAAAAACCTGATTTTAAAACTGCCATTTTTACTTGACTATGGAGCCTCAGATTTTGAAATTACTTTCTGTTTAATATGTTCTCAGAAAAATGAAAGTCAGCTGGTAAATATTTAGAAATTTTTTTGAAAATCCGCCTCCCATCGAGAAATTCCTAGATCCGCGCCTGTCATTTATGACTGCTTTTTTTCTCAAAACTTTGCATGCGACGCAGAAATTTTTGGACAAAATAGTTTCCTTATAAGTTTCTTGAAGAGCTCGGAAAATCAAATTGGTCGACCTAAAAAAAAACCTGATTTTAAAACTGCCATTTTTACATGACTATGGAGCCTCAGATTTTGAAATTACTTTCTGTTTAATATGTTCTCAGAAAAATGAAAGTCAGCTGGTAAATCTTCAATTGACGCTTAATTAATAGCTTGAATAACACAAAAAAGCCACCAAAAATCCCTATTCTTCAATTTTGGTGCGGATTTTGAAATTAGGCGTGCATATTTCACGCTAAACTATGTTTTAAAGAGAGCTTTACAGGGTTGAGTGATTTAACTCATTTTTTGTTTTTGATTAAAAAAATGCCTTGAAAACATGAGTTCTTTCCGTTTTGAGCGTCTTAAACCAAAAGTTGATAAAATCCATCGTAAATATATAATTGTAGTTCTTCAAGAAGAAATTCACGCCCTTTTCAATTAAACTCGGAGTTAAAACTGTAATCTAAACTTTTTGAGATGATTGGACCGTAATCGCCTAATTTTTTCGATCGTGATATCATTGGCTTTCGAATGATTGAAAGAGATTTACAAAATACATAATCAAAAGAGGGAATTTAAAACCCCCAATTGTAACTTTTTGAACATTTCTTGAAATGGGCTCAAATATTGACTGAAAGGGCTTCGATTTATCACTCTACTTTGTGTCAGTGCCACTGTATGTCCTAAGTTCAATAAATAAATTAATTCAATTAGCTGTCTATCAAGTGGTGTCTTCCAAGTGTCTTTTTTTGAGTGAGAAAAAGAAACAATTTCAAATCCAAAGACCCCCCCTCTTACTAAACCATCAGCCGGACAAAGTTAATTTCCAAAGAGAACTGATTTCCAAATCAAGTCCAAGTTTGTTACTCGGTACAGAGGGGTCAAAATGATGGCCAGTTGCATTTTGACTGCCTCACAAAGTTAGTTTGTACTAAACTACTGTATAACTTAGAAACTAATTTGATATTTTGCTTACCTTGCTCAAATATTCTCCCTCATCCTGGACGACTTCGGTGATTGCCAATGAAGAGTTGTCCATCCCTACGCGTTCTTATGATTTCTGTATAGTGATTTTTGTAATCTAAACATTTCAGATTTTAACATGGTTATATAATTAGTGTGTTTGGTTAATGTACACATAAATCGTTTAGTGAAAAAAGCGTAAGACTGCCATTGAAAATAGTAACAAAGTTACAAAAATATTACTCACAATCATAAAACAATCATAAATTACCTCACAAATATTTAAAATGCTGGATTTTCAGTTAGATACGCATGATACAATTTCTTAAAAAAAATACACGTAAATTTATTGAAACAGTATTGCAATTTTGTTTTAAAAAATTCCTCTCAACACTCAGAGTCAAGTACCGTAAGTTGCTATTAGTCCCAATCGTTTTTTACACGTTTTCCCATCAAAAATGGATTATTGTTATTTATTCTCACCTCCCACGACCGCAAAAATTGATCTAAAAACATAATCATCAGTTTTTTTGAATTTTCTGCATACTTTTTTGAAATCAGTTTGAATAATAGTTGGTTTTGAAAACTTGTTGCCAATGTTGTAATGCTAACCAGGAAATCAATTTTTAATAACTTTTCTTTTTGAATATCACTTTTTGAAAGCAAAGCATTAAACTTTAACCGGATAGATAACTTACCAAAAATGTCAAATGTTTTAAAACAATTACCAAGGTATAAAGCAAAGTTCCGCCAACCGAAGAAACTAGAACTTTAAAAAACTTCAAATTGGACGAGTAATGATCTCAAATGTCACCTCATTCGTATTCCACGGCGAATAGGACGGCAGAAAGCAGACGCGTCTAGATTAAAAACCCAAAGATCGATTTTAGTTTTTTGCGTATAACCCGTGTTAATTTTATTACGTTTTAAAATGAACTCTTTTTATAATAGATTAATTCTTTTCTTATTAAATCTTACTTAATGGCTTTCTGGCTGTTCTATCATGAGCTAAATTGCGATTTGTAAATTTTGTCATCGAATGTTAAATTGGTCATGATGAATAAATAAATAAATGAAATAAAATTAGTTGATCTACAATCGTTAAAAAAACTCAATTTCGGATAACATGTATTTTCTGACTCTGATTTAGTGAAACTAACAGAGTACGCCCAAACAAATCATCTATCTGAAATTTTGGAACAAGTTTTCAATTCAATTTGATTAAAAAAATTTAAAAAACTAATAAATTCAATGTTTTTCTCTGGTTAGAAGTATATATGCTCGGGGTGTTTTTTTCAGACCAGTTTCACAAATGAGCGGTGATCAAATTAGTAATATTACTCAAAATTTAACACTTCATAAATGATACTGACAGTCTTAAATTTAAATTTGATTCAAACTTTCTTTAGCAAAAAATATTTGAGACCAATTGAAGGGCAGTCAGAACATTCAGGGCTTTGCTGAAACCCTCATTTGATATCAGATTTTAAATGCTACAATATAGTTTTTCATCAAAAATATACTTTGATTATCGTTTTTTGCTAAAGTCAGTGAAAATACCTTTATTTTGGAAAAATTGGTATATAAAGTATTACTTATCTTGGTCTCAAATGGGAACAATCAGTTACTGCTATTGTCTCTTAACGCTTCTAATAATCAAGTAAGCTTACCTTAATTGAAGATGTTTTTGTAAATAGGTCGAGAATGGCTGTTTATTGATTTGATCTGGGCAACAAATGATCTCGGATTCAAGACTTGGGCAAATGGATGGTTTTTTGTCTAACCACAAAAAAACGGATGGGAAGTGTTTAACTATTTTAGTTAATTGAAGCTTATTCCGTCCGGTGAAACAAAAGCGATTATCTTTATTTTACCGCATCAAAAAACCCTCAAAGTGTTCATACCATTTTAAACCCAGAGTACATTAATGGCATAGGAAGTAGTTTTTTTTTGTTATTTTTGCTATCCTTTCTTTTTGAAACAAAGGTGATTTTTCGATTTTAGATTTAGTTCAAAAATCCCCTGATGACAAATGGTTGTTCTAAACTTGTTTTGGTTTGCTTAAAGGTGGAAAAATTAAATTCATTATCGCTAAGAGGCATAAAATTTTCCGAAAGCTACTTACGCACAACAACAAAATATTCTGAGAAATGAAGATTATTTTGTTTTTTGGAATTGACCGCTCCTTTCTTTGATCTCTGAAATTGGTCAAACTAACAAGACTGCAGGACTTTCATACACCGAAAATTCTAGTCATACAATTCCATAAATGGAGCTTATGAAAAAAAGATTAGTCATACGGTACTCATATATGGGCAAAATATATATGTAATTGTATTATAAAACGGGAGTTTTTTGGGAAATACAGAAATTAAATTTGAAAAAATCTTTAAAAAAATCCTTATCATTTTTTAAATCTCAAAATCAGTTTTGTACAAAAACAACTTTCGAAAAGATCGTGCTTTTGACAATAAGCCAAGGTGCTCAAAAATTTCAAAATTTTTGTTCATCGAGATTTGTTTTCAAGTAATCAACGGAACTCTTTTTTTTTAGTTTCATCGATACAAAAAATTACGTTAAGAATTACAGAATGTTTGCAGTCGGTAAATAAATTAGCTGATTTTTTTTTGCGCATCATTTCAAGGTGCCTCTTTTGAAGAAGTTAGGGGATTTGATCTCAATGTTTTTTAATTTTTCTACTTTTAAATAAAATTTTAGTTTGTGTTTTAATTTTTTGTTATAGAATCGTTGAGCCGGATTATTTCTCAGCTACGTGATAACAAAATAAAGGAAACTTTTAGCTAATTATCCCATACTTGTAGAATTGAAAATGTGTAAAGTCTCAAAATTTCATCAAAACAATCATTAACAAAAAAAAACAAGGATAGCCGGTTCTCGTGCCAGTAGCCCAGAGTGTTCCGACCATATTCATAAAAACTGCAAATAAAAGTTCTTAAACTGCAAAATATTAATTTCTTCAAATTAGTGTCATTTTAGTACGTGGTGTGATGAGACAACTCTACACAAATTATACTAGTAAATTAAACATATTCAAAAACAATTATCTTTAAAAAATAACGAACAAAAAAATAAAGGAAAAAAAAAATTCGAAGCTTTTTCTTTTTTTTTGCACAATAGTTTTTTTTTTCAAAAATTTCTAAAAGTCAGGGAATCCCAAATATGGCTTTCATGAGTAGTTTTTATATGGAAAAATTAAGTTTTTTAGTTTAAATTCTCTAATTAACAAGGTATCATAGCTTTGTTCGGTCAAAATTAGACGAAAAACCAAAGGTTTTAAACCGGTATTTCTTGGCACTGAGAATTTTTTGGAACTATTTTTAAGTTGTTCGAATCCCTCATGAAAGAGTTTTAATAATATATATCACTCAAACTAGTTCAAGGATTTTTAGTGATAACTGAATTTGCGTGGAAAAAAAAACAAAACACACCCAAATACGAAGTTCCTCTCTATTTTTAATGTTCGGAACAATAACACGCACATTTGATCTCAGGTTTTGTTATCTTTGATTCAAATGGTCTGAAAAATCTGTCAAAAATTGTTAGTTAAAACATCAAAAACTATCTGAGTAAAAAAACTGTTCAAGCTTAAAAGTCATGTCTCTTTGTCAAAGGGCGAAATGAAAATTAAATTAGATCAATAATTTTGTTTCCTGTCCTGGATCGGTCCTCTTGATGTTAACCTTTTATTATTAAAAAGATATAACATCTAGTAAAAAAAAGGTATGGTCTTGGTTGTGAGCTGAAAAACCGGTGATTGTTTAAGTGGCTCAAAATACACCGCACCATAATTAAACTGAAAGTAAATTTAAAAAAATGAGCAAAACGTTTTTTTTATATTTATAAAACAACTGGTTATTTTTTCCGTGGTCATGAGAGTAAGAGGAGGAGGCTAAAATTATTTCATTTTGTAGATTCTAAAATAAGTCACTCGAAATAAATTTTTTGATAAAAATCACATGTTAAGGCGAATCATCAAAACGAATTTGGGAGCGGGGCAGACTTTGCGTCCCCTCGGGGATTCGAACCCCTGTTGACATAAAAATTACTCCTTTTGTTTTATTTTAAGACATCCACGTTTGGCTGAAAACCCCTAAAAGTTTTCGGCGCCAATATTTGACTAATTTTGAGTCGGCAATTTGCTCCAAAAGAAAAATCAAATTTTTTTGATCAAAACTGTATCGAAGTGCCTAAAAATTTTTTTTAGGGTCTTGGTAAGGATTTGTGAAAAAAAAATTAGGCTGACTTAAAAAAAAGTACAGTAAAAGGTTTGGTTTTTTTTGGAAACCCGCCCTCGAAAAAATTCCAGATCCGCTTATGCAAGAAATTCAAATCGAACAAAAAATCTAAGCAGCTAGTGTTTCAAAGACTTTTTTCTTTACACCGCAGACCAAATCACGGCAGAAATTGTGACTCATAATATATCACTTTTTCATGCGCACCGGCTTTTGCATCAAAAATAAGCATTTCAACTGCAAGCTGCTCAAACAAATTCAAAGCGCTTCTTACCGAAGTAAAATCATAGGTAACCGGTAACGTTTTAGGTCAATTCAACAAGTTTACTGATTTTTTTTCAGTTTGCTGTTAAGAAATTTTAAGAAATTTTCGAAAAGTTTTCAATCAAAAAGTTGCGTTTTTTTGCGCTCGCCGCCACTTTAAAATTAGAGCAAAACAACATTTAGAAATTTCTTAGAGTTGCTCGGCCGGAAATGGTTGTCGAAAAATGATACCAAAAGAAGTAGTCATTAGGTGGGGTAGCAACCAGAAAACTGATCCACTTTTCAGAAAATTTTCGCCAGTTAGAATTTAAAGAATTCTAAGTAGTATAGCACATGTTAAATTGAATTAAATTTTGCGTTACTGCAAATTTTGCGTCATTGCTAAAAAAGCGCATTAAATTTATTTTTTTTCAAAAGTCCAAAAATCTACTTCAGGTTTTCAGAGATTTTGATTCACCAAAAGAAGTTTGTGTCATTCAAAACCAATTGGAGATGAATGTTTTGAGAGAAGCAGTTTGAGTTGAAATTATGTGATCATGAGAAAATAAAATAGCGCGCTCGAAAAAATTTTTTCTTTCGAACAAATTAGTCATTTTGCTGCATGAGAATTTAGATTTTCTAGAATTTCCTAGAGCAAAATTTGAGCATATATGATTGGTTTTATATCATGGATAAAAATCAATTTTAATAGAAAAGTGTTGTCCAAAATAGGGTCATTATTGTTGTTCGAAACCTAGTCATTATACGTGATTACTTCCCTGAAAACACAATCCATGAAAATCTATTTAAAATCAATTATAATTGATTATCATACAAAAGAATCTCTAAATTTTTAGCAAACACTTTTTGCAAAACTTTAAACAACTTCTGCTCTACTCACGGCCTACTCGAAATCTAAACCTAATCATTTTATATAAAAAGCGTGTTTCACCCCAACCCCTCCCCCCTCCGCATTTGAACAACCCCTCAGACGCCCCTCACTACCAACCCTCCCCGTAACTTTAGAAAGGAAGAAGGGTGTGTGGTTGTGGGGTTAAAGCAGGTGAAATGGGCCATATACCGGGGGAGGGATTGTTAGCTGAGTAATGTCAACGAGGATGTGTAATGATGGGCGTGTGTAAACGTGAAGGAGGTATGATGGGGGGGGGGGGAGTTGTAAAAACGTGGGGTGTCATATGCCCCATGCTGGACGGATGACACGGGGTTTAAATTGGACCATGGAGAGTAAATAATGGTCAGCAAAAAAGTGAAAAATAAACAGATTTATGAGAATATCGTTTTATCTGATGTAACGTGAATCAAACCAAAAATAACTGTTAAGGTTTGCATTTACTGCACTGTGTCTAGAAATTTCGAAAAATTTTACAAAAAATGACTATAATCCACTATAAATTATTATAATTTGTTTTAAATTTTTTTTATTGATTTGACGATGAAAAAGATTACAATCCAGTTTTAGTCTACTGTAATCGATTATTTTTGATTTTAATAGAAAGAGACAATGAAAATCCAATAAAATCGATTGTTTGTTCAAGCAAACCCAGTGAGAGACTAATTCAGAAAAATGGCCTCGATTATGAGATTTTAGGCCGCATAGCAGAAAAAAAAAACAGATATATTTCAATATTATTGCCTACAAAAAAAACTGCAGTTTTTTTTCAAAACTGAAAGGTTTCTACTACATTACTGTTTCATTTCGCTTCTCTGTTTTTGCTCTGCGACAGCTCTACAGCAGAGCAGCTTAAGTCAATTATGTCTAAAAACGGCTCTGACTGTGTGCTGACTTATTGATTTCAATCAGTTGTAAATATGATAACAGTAGATATGTTTAAGATGTTTTGCGGACTGGCACATCAAACTTGTAGAAACTTACTTGATTGCTGCAGATCTAATTTACACAATCAAAAAATTTATCAGAATTTCAAATTCAACAATTCACAAACAGAAAGACCGTTTTACCAAAAGTGATAATCATTCAATTTTCATAACATATTTTTAAAATTAAATGCAATTCCAAGAAAATGAAAAAAATAGAGAAAAAATAGCATTGATTAGTTTTTCATATATGGAAATTATGATTAAAATTTTTCAATTAAAGACCCAAATTCACTGCCCATGACGCAAATTATCTCAGCAAAACAAAAAATATTCTAGTTGGCTTCTAAAATTACTTAAAAAAGGAAGATCTCATTTGCAACTTTCGTGGTATAGGACCACCTTGACCTTCCAAAAGTGAAATTTTCAAATGAAAATATGTGATCATTACCAGCCCAAACTGTGCTTTCATTAGTCGTAAGTGGAACTCGCAAATTTTCCGAGCCAGAAACAGACTCACCCGGGTTGACCTCCGTAGACAAAAAATTCTAATCATACAATTCCATAAACTAAGTCTATGAAATAATACTAATCATGCAATTTTCATACGTTTTGCTAAAATGGTGTCATCAATTTTACAAAGAAATTTTTTTCTTGATATGGTAGAAAAGTCGGTCTATCGTACTAAATAAAAGAGAAAAAAAAACATTTTGCCAAAAAAATGTTAATCATATAATTTAAATATGTGGAAATTGTATGACCAGCCTTTTTTTCACGGCGACAACAAAAAATTTTCCAAGTTATTTTAAATTGCCCCCAAAAATTTTTTTTTAACCGCAAATCGAATTTTGTACTCAAAAGAAATTTTCCGTAAAAAAAATTTTGCATGCAAAATATATTTTTTCTGTGCATAACGTAGTCCTGGATACACAAAAAACGCATTTCTCTGGATATTTTTTTTTCAAAAACGCAAAGACTATTATTTTTTGTATGGCATGTTTATGTAAAATTTGAAAACTATCATCTTCGAAAAACTTTTGCCAAAATTTAAAAGTTGGTTGCTTTCAGTATATGATGTGTGTAAGAAACATGTGTGTAGAAGAATCGTTTCCGATTCATTGTAAATGCGAGACGGTCAAACCTTTGGTGACTCGGTTAAAAACACATTCCAAAAATTTTGAGAAATTAAATTTTTTTAAAAATCGATTCCTTGGTTTATGGAAAAATGCAGTCAAACAATTTCTATATATGAAAAATCACTAATCATAGACCTTTCATGCAAGTTTCTGTACGTATGTAATTGCAAGAAAAATGTATGATTAGCATTTTTCCATATATGAAAAGTGTATAATTAAAATTTTTAATCAACCCGTGCAATTAAGAGAGAGCTAGAGCCACTGGGAACATGTGAGAAATAGCTAGAGTGAAATGCACAGTACATTTAAAAAGGGACCAACTTTTTTTTGTGGAACTCAAAAGACTCCAATGTTAAGATTGAACAAGACTGCTCGTACGTCAGGGCAAAACCTTGAATACCCAAACAGCACTCTAATCTATATCGATTAGTTTTTAGGAAAAAATACTGAAAAACTATAAATTTTGGACAAAATCATCGAGTGTAAAAATTCAAGTTACAAAATTAATACGATCAATTAGCTTAGCTAGCCTCAATTCATTTAGGAATTATTTTGTTGAGCAGGATAAATTTCCATGCATAAATCATAATCGTTATGTTTTCAGCATTATGAGTAAAATTTTCAGAGCGTTAACAAGACTGCTGCTCGTATCAAGGCAAAGCCCTGAATGTTCCGACTGCCTTTTAAAGTCTATGGAGCAGTAATAACGTGAAAAATTAAATGTAAATGATAAAACAATGTAAGAATTTTGCATAAAAATTTGAGATTCTTTCCCCCCACATGCCATATAAAGTACAAAGTGATAAATTTCGCTCCTAGTCAAAACGATCATTACCAAAAAAACAAGGATAACCGGTTCTTGTGCCAGTAGCACAGAGTGTTTCGGCCATATTCATAAAAACTGCAAATAAAATCTCAAAATATTAAGTTCTTCAAATTAGTATCATTTTTAGTACGAGGTGTGATGAGACAATTCTACACAAGCTATACTAGTAAATTAAACATATACAAAAACAATTATTTTTAAAGAAAAGAATAACAAACGAAAAACAAAGGAAAAAAAAACAAAAAAATTCAAAGCTTTTTCTTTTTTTTTGCACAACAATTTTTCAAAAGTCAGGAAATCCCAAATATGGCTTTCAGTGTATTTAAAAAAATAAGCAAAACGTTTTTTTATATATATAAAACAACTGGTTATTTTTTCCGTGGCCATGAGGGTAAGAGGAGGAGGCTAAAATTATTTCTTTTTGTAGATTCTAAAATAAGTCACTCGAAATAAATTTTTTGATAAAAATCACATGTTAGGGCAAATAATCAAAATGAATTTGGGAGCGGGGCAGACTTTGCGTCCCCTCGGGGATTCGAACCCCTGTTGACATAGAAATTACTCCTTTTGTGCTATTTTAAGACATCCACGTTTGGCTGAAAACCCCTAAAAGTTTTCGGCGTCAATGTTTGACTAGTTTTGAGCCGGCAATTCGCTCCAAAAGCAAAATCAAATTTTATTGGTCAAAACTGTATCGAAGTGCCTAAAAATTCCGCATTTTTGGCGCTTTTTTTAAAAATTTACTTTAGCGTCTTTGTAAGGATTTGTGAAAAAAAAATTTAGGTTGACCTAAAAAAAAGTACGGTAAAAGGTTTGGTTTTTTGGAAACCCGCCCCTCGAAAAAATTCCAGATCCGCTTATGCAAGAAATTCAAATCGAACAAAAAATCTAAGCAGCTAGTGTTTCAAACACTTTTTTCTTTACGCGCGCTCATTTTGCTGCATGTGAATTTAATAAATTTTCTAATATTTCCTAGAGCAAAACCTGAGCATATACGATTGGCTTTATATCATGGATCAAAACCAATTTTAATGGAAAAATGTTGTCCAAAATAGGTTTATTTTTGTTGTTCGAAACCTAGTCATTATACGTGATTACTTCCCTTAAATAACAACCCGCACTCTGTAAATACAGAAAATAATCGATTATAGTTTACTTATAATCGTACTTTTTTCAAAATTATAATTAATTATAAGCGCCAATTTTAGATGTTTAAACGATTTATAATCCATTATAAGGATAACAGTTTTGGTGAAAGTTTAATAAATTATAATCAGTTATAATTGATTATAATTTTTCCTAAAATCTCTTATAATCTATTATAATCTGTTTTAATAGATTATAATCCGTTTTTCTATCAAATTTTTTTTAACAAAAAAAATGGAATATAATAGATTATTTTTTAGCTATTCTGCATGAAAACACAGTAAAAATCAGTAAGAAGTAAGAAATCAGTAAACCAGGGGCGGATATGAGATTTTCGGAGGCGGATTCTTAAGAAATTTACAAAAATTAATTGGACCTTCTTTTAGGCCGACCAAGTTGATTTTCCGAGCTCTCCCAAAGCACTTAAAATACACTGTTTTGGCCAAGGGCAAACTTTCGAAAAAACAGGCCAAAAACGGCTTTTTAGGCTTTTTTTTTGGAAAAATTTCACCAGAAAAATGTTTTTTTTTGTGCGCGCTCCCCCGTATAATTTTGTTTTTTTTTGGCTCCAAAGGCCAAAGGGTCCGTCACCAAATATGGATATCTCAAAACATTATAAAGAGGGAACCCTTTGGGTAGGCAGGGGGTCGAATACCTGAAAAAAGGCGTCCGCCATCCCCCCTCCCCCCTTAATCCGTCCTTGCAGTAAACAGTAAGAAAGTTAACGGTAAACAGTAATAAAATAAACCAACTGAAAGCACACAAAACAAAACAAAAATAAAACGAAATAAATCGATGACGTTTTTTGGTTAAAAATAGATTATAACAATTAAATGGATTATAATTCAAAAAAACTTCAGAAATAATTTTTTCAAAAAATAATCGATTATAATTGATTATAATCGATTAAAATGGGTTTTTTGCTTCGAAAAATAGTAACATTATAATCCATTTTTAATCGATTATAATCTCTTTTTTTTTAAATTTGTGGAGACTGACAATAAAAATTCATTATAATGTATTATTTTTCTCTTTTTACTGAGTGCGGGAATTCATGAAAATTCATTATAATTGATTATCATACAATATAATCTCTAAATTTTTAGCAAAAGTTTTTTGCAAAACCTTTAACAACTTCTGCTCTACTCACGGCCTACTCGAAATCTAAACCTAATCATTTTATATAAAAAGTGTGTTTCACCCCAACCCTCCCCCCTCCGCATTTGAACAACCCCTCAGACGCCCCTCACTACCAACCCTTCCCGTAACTTTAGAAAGGAAGAAGGGTGTGTGGTTGTGGGGTTAAAGCAGGTGAAATGGGCCATATACCGGGGGAGGGATTGTAAGCTGAACAATGTCAACGAGGATGTGTAATCATGGGGGTGTGTAAACTTAAAGGGGTATGATGGGGGGTTGTAAAAACGTGGGGTGTCATATGCCCCATGCTGGAGGGATGACACGGGGCTTAAATTGGACCAGGGCGATTAAATAATGATCAGCAAAAAAGTGAGAAATATACAGATTTATGAGAATTTCGTTTTAACTGATGTAACGCCAATCAAGCCAAAAATAAGTGTTAATGTTTGAATTCACTGCACTGAGTCTAGAAATTTTACAAAAAAAATGATTATAATCCACTATGACTTATTATAATTTGTTAAAAAAGGATTTTATTGATTTGACGATGAAAAAGATGACAATCCAGTTTTAATCGACTGTAATCGATTATTTTTGATTTTTCTAGAAACAGACAATGAAAGTCCAATAAAATCGATTGTTGTTCAAGCAAACCCAGTGAGAGACTGATTCAGAAAAATGGCCTCGATTATGAGATTTTAGGCCGCATAGCAGAAAAAAAACCGATATATTTCAATATTATTGCCTACAAAGTATAATGCAGGTTTTTTTTTCAAAACAGGAAGATTTCTACTACATTACTGTTTCATTTCGCTTCTCTGTTTTTGCTCTGCGACAGCTCTGCAGCTGAGCAGTTTAAGTCAATTATATCTAAAAACGGCTCTGACTGATCAGTTGTAAATAGT